TTGGAATAGGATTAAATTACGTCCTTTCGGGACTGTTTATGTTAAGATGTGTGTATGCTGGCTTGTACGTCCACATGTGTTGCAACTTTGCATCGTATAGGTTCATTGGAGTGTGGGTCGTTCAGCCGTTGTGCGTGGCTAACTTGCTTTGCAGCATTGGGACAAGTTGCCTGTCAAAGCTCTTTACGACTGTAGATGTCGGGGTTCTATGGACTACAAGACACCGGTTTTTCGAACCTACCTGCAATATTGTAGGTTTGGGAATCCACGACCAAACTTCACTCTTCGGCTGGCCGTGGGAAAGTTTCTTCCAGTGCGAACACTGGTCGTTCGTCTTATTCAGGACGAGAGATGAGGATACGAACAAACGTGAAATAGGGAACACTTTTGACATATGATTCTGCCTCGTTGGTCCGATGGGCCGCTCTCCGCTTCCCAGTTCTGCTTGAAGGTACAAATTCTCATTGATTTCTACACAACCTTCCGTCACTGAACACATGAGCTTGTCAGATGATTCTCTGGAACAGAGTGAGACCTATCTGTACTTCAAAGTTCGTGTTCATAGGGATGTACATATGAGTATCCCTTTGATATACTTGATGGTACGATCATGTGTGGAATGGTATGGTTGGTATTTCATGGTATGGCACCTTTATGGGGATGTTTCATGTGCGCGAAACCTCAGGAAAGTTGTCCTTCGTAAATCAGTCTCATATATTAATGACCAAAATGAAAACTCAAGGCCGTTTGAGAATAGTATGTCTAATACAGTTCTGTTATGTTTTTGCTTAGGAATGGTTAAGTGCTGTGTTCTGCCTGTATTATCCCTTATTCGCCTACCTTTGAAACATCCAGGATGAACTGAACTGAAGTTAACTAATTTGTAGTTGGCTAAACTGAAGTCATGGGTTTACGGATCGTGTATCTTGTGTGGTGGCGGCCACGACCTTATACAACTCTTGCATATTTCTTGTTAGACTCTGGCAAGGCGTAGGAAGACTGTCAGTGAACTTTGGCGATGATTTCTGTTCCAAATGAGAGTGCGATATATGTTGTCACACAGTGGTGAATTGGCCTCAAAGGGGAGCACACGTGTGGTGCGCTACCTGAACAGTCCCCAATCTAACCGAAGAATTGATCGACTGGGTCTAGTGTTGTGAGAATATCGGGACCTATAGTCTCCCGATGAGACCTTCGGCACGTATCTGTCACATCGATGGTAAGTCAAAATTCGGTTTGACCAATACACTGCGTAGAACTTCTGCTGAGTGACTACAGTACAGACAAGGGAACGCTATCGAATTTGCGGTGCGCAGGCTCCGAGAATGAGTCACATTTGACGTTGAACGCGTGCTTCATCTCGACTGTTGGTGAGGTGGCTGAAGTGACCGGAGCCTCTGTGGTATTTTCCAGAGTTAGAATTTTTGGCAGCATATCTAGTTGGGATCAGGGAATAAACACATGCCGCCAAGACCTTACTACAACTGCCCCCCGTGCTTGGTATGTGGAACGCTGCCATGTTAACTCTGCTTCTTCGGAATAGCAAATTCGACGCGTGGTTGATTCAGTCTGATTCGAACTGAAGATTTTATTCTGTGAAAGATCGCAGACCGGTTCAAATGGTTGAATCTATCTGCTTTTCTGTTACCTCGAACGTGAGTTTGGCTCACATCGGTCTACAGGTGAAGTAACGAAAATGCAGCAGATGGGTTTCTTATGCGTGTTACAGGGAGATAAAAATCAGCGACAGCATGTCCGGCTGCTCTGCACACACGTTTGATTAAAGGATATGCGAGCAGACTTGGATCACCTACAGGTGAAGTAACGAAAATGCAGCAAATGGGTTTCTTATGCGTGTTGCTGAGAGATAAAAATCAGCGGCAGCATGTCCGGCTGCTCTGCACCACGTTTGATTAAAGGATATGCGAGCAGACTTGGATCATCAGTTTACCCCATGCTGTAACTGTCTCAAACTTAAGTTTTGAAACACAACAGGTTAGGGATCTACACTCATTTGCATACCAATTTGGTTTTGGCGGCTGCAACCCTTCTGAATCTCTCGCTTATGATGTTTTAAGTAACTTACCGAGTGTATTTCGCGAAGTTCGTGCAATTTGAGTTCACGTAGAACGTAGGCTTGACAGAAACTTGGGTACTGCGCCTACCTGATGAGTCCTAAGAAAAACCGAACTGATCATGGGCTGTCGAAGAGCTCATAGTAACCCGAGCAATCTCGCTTCCGCAGGGAAAGTTGTGAGAAGTTCAAAGATATGTATGGCTACATGAGAGTTACAGTAAAGTGTGAATAAAGCATTAGTTTTAGTCTAACAATGAGCAGATCAGCTCACTTGCGAACATGAGTTCAGTTTCAACCTATGAACAGCTTCTTTGAACACATTTTTCATTCTCTTCTTACGAAATCAAAATCAACATTGGTGAAATTTTATTATGAGTGATTCAAACAGTGTTTTCTAGTACCTGTATGACGCATCGGAGCAGCTGACTTGCTAGCCTTATGGCCAGTCACGTGGAACAGAAACAAGATCTCAAGAAATACACGTGCCGGAGCATAACCATCCGGCGGGTAGGCTTGCCTCTTCTACTGCGATAAAGGTGCAGTGTCGCGTCAGGAGCATTTAGTCCCCTTCATTACCAAAAATGAATATTTTGCTCTAAATCGACTAGATGACAGGAAATACCGCCAGATGTTTCCAAGGACTATTCATCTCCATTAATTATGATCGTCTTCCTGCAATCCGAAATGGGATATCAAATCTTTCCGCTTCCATTTCATCGGTAGGTTTGAGCTCGAGGTTGCGCCAACTGAAGACCAATTTAAGACGACTATTTATTTACTGAAGTAGAATCTATCACATTTTCTGCTGGTCAATGTACTCTTGTAAAACTAGCTTGTTTGAGGAGACACTACTTTAGTGGAATGTTATACCTGGGTGGTGGGGCCTCGGGTGAAATATATCAAGGTAATACTCTACTCATAAGGCTGCTGAAAATTCTTCGTCAGCCCACGACCGGTTTTACTCTTCTTGGGGCTCATCAGTCAGGCACACTTCCACTTGAACCCGAATTGCGTGAAATTAGCAAACTACGGCCACTTGCAAACCAGTTTGATTTCGCGGGTGACTCACTTGATTAATCTCCCGTTTATGATGTTTTTCAAGCAACTGAATTTGCTGCACCAAGCCACTGGTTCCCGAGTGAGTCTCGCGCAAAACCGAATTGGCTTGCAAAGGAATGTGTTTCGCAACTTTCTTTCAATTCGCGTTCAAGTGGGGCATAAGTGTGACGGAAAATCAGAAACTGAATCTACCTGATGAGCCCCAAGAAGGGCGAGACGGGTCGTGGGTTGTCGAAGAGTTTCCAGTGACCTTATGAGTGGTGTATTACGTTTATACATTTGTCGCAATATGTCGAATATCTTAACGAGTTTTATCAATGTACTTTTTGTAATAACTGTTTCCCAATTTGATGAGCTGTGATTACATTCCACGTCATCTGAAAAGGACCGTGCGTCACCTACGTGACTGTTGCTCCCTTTACACGGTAAATGAGATAAGATGGCCTCAGCAAAAATTTTGATTGTGAACCTCTGAAGCAATGATTACAGGGCCGGTTCAGCTTTTACAACAACCCTCACTGTTCAACCTATAATCATAGACTGCGATTCTGCGCATCCCTCGTCCTAAAATCATTGCGCTCAGAACTCTGGATGCCTGAAGAGAGTAAGAGGTGAGCTGAACGCATTACAAGCAAATTTTGAAAGTGTTCACGTAAGCTATACTTGCTAGGACTTCAGGTTACCACTAAATGACAGAGCCATAGACGTGAGTTGGAGGTAGTGGGTTCAACACACATGAGTAAACTATTCAGGCCTCTCGAGATTCGGCGAATGAAACAGACAAACATCTGGCCAAATAAGCGTCAGAATACTCAGGTATCGACGAGACCCAATAGTAATTTTTTTTTCTACTGGAGGCTCCTCAATGAAACTCGACATGCTCAACCCCGAGTGAACCAACGTAATACACGTTCCATGTTCTAGATCTGACTATTGGATTACCCATAGATATAACTAAAAACCTGTTGGTATTTCAGGCTTGCCATTAAGAAGGGTATCGTTTGTGCAACTTTACACTCCGTTTGAATTTATTTCTTCTTTTTTTGTATTCTGTGAGTCTCCTGCAGCGTTTATCGTGGATTTAACCCAGGTGCTCTGTACATATAGCTGTTATTGTCATAGTAATATCTATCTCTGTTTCTCTACGGAACATATCACAAAACGAAGTGACCTTATCGAATGAACCATTCATTTCGTCAAACTCGAACTCCGGGCTTTCATCACATGTCGCCAAGTCTGTCCCATAATCGGAATTCCTCGCTTGGACATTCTAACAGGTACTCCCTTGAGGTCTAGCTTTCAGTTCCTCATCTAATTTCGAGTTCGCATTATATCATATTGTACCCCAGCTTTGTTAAGATTTTGGTTAGGTATTTTAATAGCGTTACATTCAGTACCGCAAATTCTTCTGTCGCCACTGAAGCCATCTTTTGACTAGTGCGTCCGATGGACCTCGCACTGAGACGCTAGGGAATCAAAACTACCTACTGTGGCTACTCAATCGACCTACTTAACTTGGGAGAACCACATTTAACACCTTACACTAATAGATTTTCTGTGTTCAAACCGCGTGCTGCAAAAGACGTAAACTAACACATGATTTGATTTCGAAATCCTAGTCACAGGCTATCTGGTAAGACTGCTTATTCGATCTAGGAATATAGTCCGCCGATTTCGAATTTCAACACAATTTTCCTATTATCCTTACTACTAGTATGAACGTTCTATGCAAGTACCGACAGTCGGTGTGATGGCGGGGAACAGTCAAGTCAAGTCCTGATTGACACAATCATGACTGCACGGATGTCACCTCTACAGATCTTCGTGATCAGCCTATACATGCAGCATTCTGATTGGTTCCAGCATGCTTATCCTGCTTGGTGTGACACTCAAGGTCACCCGGGTCTGGACCAATCACGGGGTTACGCGAACGCGCAATGAGAAGCTCAGCCGATGTTGCAGTTGCGTTAGCGATGGACAAAACACTGGTGAAAAATGGATAGTCGCATCCTGTGTGATAAGAAGTTGGGTCTCGTGCATTCAAACGGATACCGGTGAGCCCGAGACCATCTATGCAGTCCATCATACAATACTGTCAATAATGTGCAAACTCGAGTGGTTCCGCCGAAGAAAAAAATCCACGTCCACGGGCCGAACAGTTTTTGCTAATCAGGGCCCAGCATGCTTGCTGAATGATGGAGAGGAAATGGAACAATTTTGCTCAAATGCTATCATTTCGGCCCGTTATACCTGGTTAAATTTTGTTCCCAAAAATTTGTTCGAACAATTTCATAACATGGCGAACATTTTCTTTGCCACAATCACAGTTCCATATGCATTTGCGGAAGCAGCAACAAGTGTTTGGTCAAATTTAGGACCACTGATAGCCATACTCGTCATGACCATGATAAAAGATGGAATCGAAGATATTCTGCGTCACCGTCGGGATCGCAAAGTCAACCACCGTCTTGTTCAAACACTAAAGGTGAATCCTGCTGGTACGACTCCAGAGTGGGTCGTAAAACGGGCAATGAATTTACGCGTTGGCGACGTGATTTGCTGTGAGCGGGATCAGTCATTTCCGTGTGACCTGGTCGTGCTTGCGTCAAGTAATACATCCACTGAGATAAATGTGACTACTACTAATTTGGATGGAGAGTCCAATATTAAAAAGTATTACGCGGTTTCCAGTACGCAGCCAGCTTACTTAAAGCTTGCTCCCGACAGATTCCATAAAATGATAACCAATAGTTCGCACCCGCTTCATAAGATGATCAAATCCTTGTATGTTCGAGTGGAGTGCGAACAACCGAATGCAGACCTCACGAAGTTTGAAGGCCGACTTTCAACCAAGTACGTAAAAGACATTCCATTGAGCACGTCTAATGTAGCTCTTCGTGGTGCGAAACTACGCAATACCGACTTCGTGCTTGGTATGGTTGTCTACACTGGTGAAGAGACAAAACTGTCACTAAACGGAAAAAAATCAGCACGCAAATATACTACCCGTGAGTCCAGATCAAATGTTATTCTCCTATCGTTCATTGTTTCTATGGTTTTGTTGGCTGTGATATTTGCAACCGTGTTTACTCTCTGGACAGGAAAAACAAAGAACACAATATGGTACATACCAACCTCGCCGCAAACCTCATGGCAGTTCATACAAAACCTTTTTCGATTTGTATTCATCCTAAACTACCTGATTCCCATATCAATCGTGATCACAATTGAACTGCAACAACTTTTGCTTGCCTTCTTAATTTCCCAAGATATGAAAATGTATTTGGAGTCAGAGGACTTGTGTGCCAAGGCAAACAGCTCTCAGCTGGCTGATGAGCTGGGACAAGTCGAATTCCTTTTCAGCGATAAAACCGGAACGTTGACACTAAATTCAATGCGTTTGTGTCTATGTGGCATCCTTGAATCGGAGAAAGTCTATACTTTTCGGCCACTCAGTGCAACATCAAGCAACACGTCTACCGACTTCTGTGCATTCGAGACTGTGTGGGATCGAGAATCGAATAGCAGTCAAAGTGACACATCGGATAGTTTTCCGAATAAATCCACCATCCACAGGCAATGGCTTATTCCAGACGCAAATGATACCCTCTTGCAGGAATTTTTAACAACCTCTGCACTGTGTCACACGCTTGATGTAGCTAACACGGAAATTGATGGTGAATACCAAAATGGACGGAATGAGATAAGCCTCCGCCAGCTTCCCATTTACGAAGTGAGTAAGCGAACAAAAAGCAGTTATTTTCCCCACTGTTGCCATTGTCTCTTTGTTTTCAAATTAGTTGTGAGGCAGTTTTAGGAAGCGTTTGACCCAACACGAATGACGTGGTTGTAAGAACCTCGGAGCACACTCGAGGTGATTTCGATGGACATCAGAGATTTGTTCTTTAATAAAACCTTATTCTTAGTAAATAGCCTAAAACCCAGAGGAAAAGGATGAAAAACAATTCAGACTAATTTTGTTTTCATTCGCCCTCAAAATTGCAACCGTTGCTGACGTAACTCAAACATGCAACAGTATCAGCCAGGTTTGGTCGCATGCAACATCTTTTATGTACTCTTGTTAACTTGCCTATGTTTGTGGGGGAACAAAAACTGGAATGCCGTGATAAACATTCTATTGAGGTTCACGGATTACTAATATTACATCGGAATCTCTAGCTCCAGCCTGTTTCTCTACTTGATTTTTTGCGTTTGGTCTGATTTTCTAGCCGTTCAACTACTCAAGTGTGTTTTGAGACTGCCCTCGACGTCAACTTGATTAATTAGCACAGGGACAGAAAGGAAGGTCCGTTCAAATGATCTTTATGCCGCCCCAAACTGCCCATATTCTAGCCAAAGTTTAGTGTTCGCTCTAAACCGAGACCTAGGGTGATGCCAATGAAACATTCGCAGACATGCAGTGATCACAGGTTACAACATGAACAAATGTGTCGCTGTTAAGTGTCCTGGTACTCAGTAGACATATTTAGTGAAGCACGAGAGGATACACTGAAGTAATGACAGTTGACCAACACGCGAACTCTCAATTATCAGGGAATTCACGTTGTCGAGGATAATTTTCCTTGCACGATGATAAATCTGATTATGGCCAAGAATCTGCTGGAATAAAGGTGAATGGAAAGAAACAAGAGACTGATTGGATGACTCGAGGTAAATTCACGCAGTACCAAGGAGATTCTGCAAGCCATCTAGTTTTTAGGTCCCTAGGGCATCCCATGATTTTCGCCCACTGCGTGGGGATAGCATTTCGGATGAGATTACGCAGAGAGAGTGACAGAATCTACCATCAACCATGTTTTAAATATACTTACACAATATTACACTATGCTTTCGTGTATCAGGCTATATATATGTCCCATTTTCATCAGTTGAGAGATAGCGCTGTGGTTAGAGCGCTAATTTACTGACCGGAAATTCCGTAGTTCGAATCCTACCTCGGCATTTCAACTTCTCCTGTCTAGACTTGGGCAACCTGACAGTATCCCAGCCCTTGTGTTTCCTTCAAGCGATATGGCAGCTAAGCACTGAAAGGGTATTACAGCTAGGCAATCATTTTTCATCCGTTTTCATTAAGTTGTTGCTTGAATTTCGTGAAGCTAAGAATCTGGACAATCTTCCGGAAAAATGAACTTCTCCCAAAAACAACCATCGCTAATTCGGAGGATCCACTGTGAGCCTGGTAATAATAAAGGTGAAAACGGTAGTCATCCAGCAATGTGGTTGATACCAATGATGTCCGCCATTTCCGGAAAACCGAAACGGGTGTGTTCTTTAGACCCACAATCACACGTTCGCATACACGTGACTGCAAATGTAGGCAACAGACGAATGGCCTCACAAGTTTGAGTTGGAAATCTTACCTTTTGGAGCTGTTTAGATATTCAGCTAAGCAAACAACAACAACACTAGATGGGAGGAACAGAGTTCGTTGTAATGCACGGAAATCACTTTCGTGACTCAGAAACTAAGCACTTAGCGTAGACATGTGTTCTGATTTGCCATGTCCTGACCGCATAGATGCTACGGTATCGTTCCTCACTTCAATGAGTCGGGGTCGGACACGAAGGCCAACATGTAACAGTTCAGAAACCTCAGAAGGGCAGTTGTCTGGTTGTAAGAAGTGTGGGGAATAACTGATAAAAACTACCGATTGTTTACCAAGCTCTTCTGAAATAATCGATAAACGTTTAAGGGAGCACGTGTGATATCAACTAGCCTAATAAGGGGCGCACCCAAACTTTGCATTTCTCCGCTTGCTCGACTGTTGACCAAATTTAGCAGGTTGACCAGCAATGAGGTTTTTCAAACTACGCTAATCGATATTCTCTAATGCGGAGTAAACCCTGAATTCTCCTTGACTGTGACTTTTCTGAAGTAGTATGTCGAACTAGGGGATGAAGTGGCTCAGGTTCGTCAGGAGTATATGTCTTTGCAGCGTATATGGATCGTTTTTGCCAATGCTGAACAATCACGGTGATTCAGTTACGGTGAACGTTTTCGACTTAACGATTCTGTCTATCCTATCCCGATGGTACGATCACTTGAGCAGGTTTTAGTCCGCATTTGTGATTAATACTAGATTCACAGCTTTTAATTTGATCGTTCTGCCCGAATGTAGGATAACATAACTCAGTCTTTTCGTAAACAGTTAACGAAACGACTAGGGGGAGCGCGATGATGAATCCTTGCTTTGAGGATGCGAATGCCCATGCCTGCTTATAGTCATCTAATACCTTGTGCTTGTCTAACAAAACTGGAGTGGCAGAATGCTCACAGTTGCTGACACCGGATTGGATACGGTCGAACGCAACCACAAAAATGCTCAGCTGAGTGGGCCAGTAGCACCGTTTGCAAAGTGCGCAACATGAGCGGGAAGGAGGTGTGAGGCTGGCCAGATGCCAAACGGAAACATCAGTGTCACACACAAGCCCAGCGAGGAGGAAACAGAACGAGAAATTGTCGGGTGGTTGTGCCGTGACCGGACAATCGATCAGCTGCGTGAAACAATCGAGGCCTGTTGGATTTCGAGGCTTTGGATCGAAATAACTGTCTTCAGTTCGGTCGCATGAGGCTAAGCTGGTGTCTGCCGCAATGAGGCGCGCACGTTATCATACAACCTGGATTTTCGAGCGCTCCACAGTAATTTTCTCTAACCTGAGTTCATCTGCGGTGGGGTCTGTACAGGTTGTCACAGTTTTTTTTACGTCCTCATCATTTGGGGCCTGTCATGGAAAAAAGCACCCCCTGTTGGAGCATAGCTTCCCACCGTGCTTAAGTCTCAGCCGCCAAAAATAGATCCAGTACAACTAGATTTCTGAAAAAGCTTTCACATACCCATGGTGAAAAAGCAGCCCTCTTAGGTTGACATTCTTTTCTGCTTCCAGAATAAGCATTTGGGAACATAGAAGGTTAATCTCCTTGGGGGAATGGACTTGTTATTTGGAGATATAACGGCATCAAAGTGGCTGTCAATGACGGTTATCTATGTACTCTTCTGGTTTTGACAAACTTATGCAAGCTGTTTGGTCGGTAGACACTTGAGTACAGTCACAACCTCCTTTAAGTTGAAACATGAGGTTCGAATCTCCTGTTCACACCATCTTACCATGCAACCGAGTGTTAAAGTGGGCACAGTGTTAATGAGAATTCGTGGGCTAAAAGGGATGAAAGCTGGAGTGGGCTATCAGGTATACAACCCATTTTTATGAGAAGTGTCAGGTTCAAATATTCCAACTTTATTTCGACGAAATGATTGATCCAAACGCTTCGAACCTGGTAACACAAGACTGCATCCCAGCGGTTATGCCATCGGAAAAGGATACGAATGTTATTTGAGACAGAAAACATCCAATGGGGTTACGTCTCTCCGATTAACTAGCACTGGAAGACACATTTTACATACAGTCTACAGTCATACAATCTCTTGGTAAGTTTCACGACTGAGATCGAAGCTTTCCACTTTCTGAAGACAACCGAGCAACGAACTCATGCATAGTTGCCTAGATGTCTGCCGAGTGATATCAGAGATGCAGCTACCCAATAAAGGTGTTTTTGCACGAAGTTCGCAAAACAAGTGTCCAGGTGATGGAAAAATACAAACATTAGACAAGGGAATATGATATGTATAGTTCTATGGTTTCTGAAGTAAGTTTTCAGTTTATTCCCTGCACAAGTCACCCACGGAAGCACTTAGCGTGAAGCACGGTGGCATACACAGAACGGCGATCTCAATGTCTACACCACGTTTTTGGTTGAAATATCAACTTCCAAAGTCCCTGCACCAGACGGTGAAGATCACATGTGGTCTTATACACCCATCGAAATTTTCGGAGTTGGTAACCTGCACAAACGTGTAACTGGACGATAATCGGGTTGTCTTTAGGTCTGTCCTTAGTGTTCATGGTATTTAGGTCAGCACTGGTATGACCATCTCAATTCCGAGATCAGGTTAAGTGAAGCTGCTGCACCCTCTCGTCAACGAAAGCTGGCTCGTGCAGTGGCCCTCCTAAATAGCTCATGAACGATGCACAAATAGAATATCATCATGATGATCTTGCACAGAGAGTTTGTAATAGCTCTGGTTGCTGGGATAATTATCCGAGACCCCATATCAACCGATTTATAAACTTTTAGTTGACTACTCGCCTTAATACACACACAGTCCACGCAACAATGCAAATGAAGTTCAGCAGCACATTCATACTCCGATTTGCTGCGATGTTTGGTCTGCAGCTAAACTAAACCGTAGAATCTCAGCAAACACATCAGGTGGCACAATTTATATACAGTCTTCCAAACATCACCGATTCGGTCGGTTATTTCGTCCCAGGTCACAATGAAGGAATGGCATAGCCTGTGAACATAATAAACTTAGAAGTGTAATGGCCGAATTCAGCAGACACATGCTGCAACTGCACGCTGCCATGGCCGCCATTGATTGAAAGAGATCGACGTATCGTAAGCTTTCAAATTACACAGGAAAGGTGAAGCAGTATTGAAAGCGTTGACCAAATTCCCTCATGAAATATATACAGCGATTCCAGGCAGAAAAAGATACCGAATTTGTCCGGGTCTTTTTCAGTCAACCGTCTCACTCATTCGAGGGGATTCTGAAAAACTGACCCAGAAGAGAATGACAGAATCACTCAGCTTACAGGCTACTCCAGCCATTCACCATCCTGTCCACCTGCTGCATACTATCCATAGTTTTGGTGAACTTACTATAAACCCTAGATGTTTGACCGCCACAACACTGCTCTGCTGAAGTGGACAGCTCTGTATCAGTACAAACATTGTGTCCTTTCAAGCTCTCTTCAAGAGTTTAAAACAGAAAATAGTGAAACGGAGCAAGAGTGAATGATTTCAGTGGATAATCTAGGCAATCAAACCCAAAATCCGCCAAAACATACAAGCTTTCGAGAACGTTGTAACTAGATGCATTTTTCTCAACAAAGAACACTACCCTATTGCGATTCTCATTTTCCTTAAATTCCTCCTCAGTCGGTACAACGAGTTACGGGGATATGCTAGATCAACAGTTTGACAATGGAAAACAGCCAACCAGTAGAGCAACTTCCGGATGTTAAAACGCCGTAACTAGTAACTGTCCTGATGCCACTTGGGTCTTAAATTGCTTTGACCTTGAAGAAGCTGAGAGTTCACTGCAGTGATTGTCCTTTGGTCTCAAGATAATTGTAGTATGATCACGTTTCAATAATAGTAAGCAAACATTCAAGAAACCGACATAATCTCACTGAAGGTGCTGTAAAATCGACCTGGAAATGTTCAGAATTCGGCACCACTTATATGACAGACTATCATATCAATTTTCCAATCGTTCTTGAACCCCAAAACCTCGGACGCCTCAAGCGTTTTCTGCAATAGTCTGGGCTAATATATGACAATCTTTCAGAATCATGTCATGTATCTGATCAACCATTTCCGGAATTGATACTGTCTGAGGTAGTTCTGGCCATTCTGCATCTACTCTCTGGAAACCTCCCACGGGAATTCAGCGTATCACAGAATATGCTGAACAATCGCCAACCAGCGCTCGCACCACATATTCGTCAGTTTATTTCGCAGAAATAGAAGCTTCCACAAGAGATGACTCCGCATACCTAGGTGACCTGGTCGCCCATTGACCTAAACCAAAGCGGAAACCGAGTGTTATGATTTTGTGACTTGTCCGTTGAGACAATAACCGGACATCGTTTCCAGCCGGATCTTACAAACAATTTTCTGTGACTGGACCAGAGGGAAAACTTATCTCTCGTATCTTTTTGGCTCCTTTTGAAAGGCTTCGCTTTAAAGTCGGATACTCTTAAATTCAAATGTGATTTGTATGTGTTCTGAACAGTAGTGATATGTGCGGCACACATGTTTTGACGTGTCAGGTTTCCGGCACAACTGTACTGATACCTCATCAACGTCAACTGCTAAACAAACTCTACAGCTGAGTGATCCGTCTTTTTAAATCTGTAGAAAAGACCATTTGGACCAGGTGATTGCCACCAAGCTCCAATCGGCTTCAATATGTTAGAAGAGCTCAACGTGAATCTCTGCTGTAGCATGTTTTAAGCCAATCCGGCGCGAATGAGAACCACATGAGGTGTTCATATATCACAATGATAATGCCGATGATAACATAGAAATCTTCGTCACCTGAATCTCTACTTTCCTATTTTTTGCCCCAGTGGAGTGCGTCTTAAATTAGTACTGATAATGTGCAAATCCAAATGTGTCTGTTGCAGACCCGAGACTGTAATCACCAGTCGAACAGTTTTCGCAAATCAGGGGCCGCAAATTTTGTTGAGTGATGGTGAGCAAATGGGTACTTTTTGCTCGAACGCCATCATTACAGCTCGATACAACTGGATCAACTTCATACCGAAAAATTTACTCGAACAATTTCACAACATGGCCAATATCTTTTTCGCTGTAATTCTCATTCCCTATGGATTTGCCGTTGCTGCTACAAGCGCCTGGTCGAATTTAGGACCATTGATTGCCCTACTTGCCATGATCATGATCAAAGACGGTGTCGAGGATATTTTTCGTCATCGCCGGGATCGTCGACTGAATCACAAGGCTTTCAAAAAACTCGAGGTGGATTCTACTGGTACAACGCTCCAATGGGTGATTAACCGCGCAATGGATTTGCGCGTTGGTGATGTGATCTGCTGTGAGAGGGATGATGCCTTTCCGTGTGACCTTGTGGCCCTCGCGTCGAGTAACGTATCGACCGAGATAAATGTGACCACCGCAAATTTGGATGGAGAAAGTAACTGGAAAAAGTTTTACGCCGTCTCTGACACTCATTCTGCCTACATCAAGGTTGCGCCCAACCAACTTCATAACCAACCAAGTCAATTTACTGATATATCCCGGGAAATGATTGAAACCCTGTACGTCCGAGTGGACTGTGAACAACCTACAGCTGATTTGACAACGTTTGAAGGTCGTCTTTCAACGAAGCGTGTATGCGATATTCCTTTAAGCGTATCAAACGTGGTGTTGCGTGGCGCGAAACTTCAGAACACTGACTTTATGATTGGGCTGGTAATTTACACTGGCAAGGACACCAAATTGTCGTTAAACGGGAAACAGTTTAAACGAAAGTTCAGTAGGAGTGCAGCCAGATCAAATTTCCTCATCTTCTCACTGATTATCGGCATGATCGTGTTTTCCGTGGTCTTTGCCGTTATATTCACTTTTTGGACACGAAAGACGATGGATGGGACGTGGTATCTACCAAAGCCTCGTGAAACCCCGTGGGAGTTTGTTCTAAATGTGTTCCGTTTTGTGTTCATCTTTAGTTACCTGATCCCAATATCTATCGTCATCACAGTCGAACTGCAACAGTTAATGATTGCCTACCTAATTTCAAGCGATGTGAAAATGTATGAGGAATCTGAAGATTTATGTGCAAAAGCAAATAGTGCTCAGGTTGCGGACGAACTGGGACAGGTGGAATTTCTCTTCAGTGATAAGACTGGGACAATGACAAAGAATTCAATGCGTATGTGTTTGTGCGGTTTGTTGGACTCTAAAAAAGTCTACACATTCCGGACCTGGACTTCAGACGTAAGCACTGGGTCCGCGAAAACTGGTCCTAGTGAGGCCGGCTGGAATGAGTTGTCGCATTATGAAGCGGATAGTCAGGACGGTGAATTGAATTTGTATGGGCAGGCTTCTTCTGGAATAAATAATAAAGATCGCCTCATTCCGGATGCCAATGATCCTTTTCTGAAAGAGGCTTTAACGATTTCTGCGTTGTGTCACACGGCTGACATAGGCCATGAACAGGTCACTGACAAAAGTAAAAATTCAGTGGGCGGGAACTTCTCACATCTGATACCCAACTATGAAGTAAGTGATTGGATGAAAAAATGATTGAGGTTTCGCATAGTTCATCTCCCCTTGTCCCTTTGATTAAGTCGTTAAACTGATAGAGAATAGTTATCACAAGAAGTTATTTGCGAGTTTGATTGTGTTTTGAACCAATATCTCATAAAAGCAAATCGTTCAGTTGTCGCATGTAATTGGTGCGAATGCACCATGCAAACTGTATGGAGCAGAGGGCTGAAATACCTCCAGCTTTCTCGGGCCCAGACAGAATGGATCTGAGAAGTCAGAAGTGCTGGCTCCGTACTTTTCGGAATGTAGCCTTGCTCTTAAACTACTGAGCTATCACGTGTGCTCCCGTTCACCACAATCATTTATATAAGGTCATCGCAAGAAATCAATTGTACGCCACTCTAACGCAGCAGCACTTCACACAGGCAATCTCGACATGTGTACTGAATTGTTGCATGATTGTCCAGTTGAGGATACTTGTTTTTCCAGCTCACATGATGGGTGACATTTTATAGGTAGTGTATGGTTTCATCAAAGTGATGTTAGGCAACTGAATCTGCACTTGTCTATCCGTCATAATACACATAAATGAACTCTGCTGAAATGCATGGCGGACAATTTGAATTCATGCCTCCAGAGCGAGTCTTGGTAACTTCTAATTAAAAACAGCTTTTCGGATCAGTCAAAATAGCCTCGATAAGACTGACTTTAATTGGCCTTTTAGGTAGAAAATGATATGCCTTAAAAAGGGTGCCCATTGTACCTGGTGCTGTTCAAAATATTTTTCTCATCTGCACTTGTCGCTTCACAAGTCGGGCAAAACGAACCTAGACCTTCGAGTAGTTGCTTCTTTGAAGACCATTTGGAACTTCACGCACAAATCTCCTAACTTGGATGGACTAAAGCTGTACAAGGATAGATGGATTTTCTGATGAAGCAAACCAATAACAGTTGGAACTTTACCGGATGTGAAACATTTTTGGTGTAGTAGATAAACCAAACAAGAAGTGGTTTGGCTAAGCAGAATCGAATCACTGGACCTCGTGAAAGAACTTACGCGTGATAGCATTTTAGAGCTTTCCAAATAAAAAGCAAGCCCCCGGGACATCACATGTGTCCTTATTGTTATTATAAACAGCACAAAACCAGAAAGAGTTTCTAATGTTTAAAACGATTAATTGGAATTTTTGGCCACAGATGTTTATTCCTTGAACAGCCGTGTTAAAAAATAATCCTGAATTTCAATTCTCAGAGTTTTTTTTCACAAGTACACACACTTTATCTTTATCTGTTGCGGTCTGCACGTACAGGATCTCGCCGAATGCATTCAACTAAATGTAGTCCACTAAAAATTTTCACTAGTAATGTATCGTCGAGTATAATATTTCTACCCAAAATGGTTTGCTTCGAAAAGTCTATGGCAGGCTGACAGTAAACAAGACTTAAATTCACCAGCGAAACTTGTTGAATTGCCTTTGCCAAGCTACTAGGAGACGTAAGGGGTGAGGTGGAATACGAAGAATCTAACGACATTGCAATTTTGGCCGTGTTTCCTGGATGCAGCACGCAGCCGAATTTTCATACCAGCATCAGATCACAAGCAAGGATCCAGGCATAGCGTTTCCACACATAAATGTTGCCGACATTTGCACTGACCATACCTTCAAAGTGTGGGTCGGAGTTTACCTTACCGCCGTAATATTATGATTGGTCCGTGAAAACCGTGTAGACTTGGACGGCCACGACTCTCCAGACACACACACACACCGTGTATTCCTCTCATACCCAAACTGACTGATTAGCTTACATTGGGAATCTGATCGGTATACAGAAGTTTCACTGGCAGCCAAGTCTGGGTTTCTATGGTAAAATATATTGCCCTTTTTTCGACAAATACACTCATTTGCATACCGATTTGGTTTTGATGGGAGACGCATCTAAAACACGACTGGATCCCTTGTTTATCATATCCTTTACCAACCGTATGAGTGTTGTATAAACGTTTCTATGTTGCCCTTAGGATTCATTCCATCTTTCTCCTCGTTAGCCTCACGTATGTCTGTGTTCATCTAGCTTCTTCATAGAAGTAAACGGGCACGCATATTTCAGTTATGGGCCAGTCCCTTCGAATCTTTTTAGGCTTGTTTGTGGAAAAAGCATAAAAGTCTTCATCGAGTTTCCTGGGATATTTGCTACTCATCTTGCCGTGCTTTCAACCTACTTTTAAAGTTAGCTGCTGTCATTAGAGTTAGTCGTAAATTTCCCTGTCACCTCTCAGTTCTGGGTGTCATACAGAAGCGTTATCATTAAACCGCCTGGGCGATAGCTACGCAAAAAGCTGAAGATGCGGAGAAGATAGAGTTTCCCACAAATACCCTGTCTGCGCCGATACTGCAAAGCAGTGACCGATGCGGTGCGATAATAATTGGGCGATACATCTCATGCTCAATACAGCCTAGAATGCTCAAACATGAACCAGCGGGACGATTCAAATCCTTGACCAATTGTCCCTATTCAAATTCTCAACCATTAGGTTGCAGTGGTCGGTGAAAAGTTTTTGGATCAGTCTGAATTTTGTTGAATAAGTCGTTACAAGCGCCAGGCTGAAGTTTAAGAAGACTAAACAAAACACATTACTCATATGGTTACTGAAGATTACTCGATAGCCTACGACCGGTTTCGTCCTTCATGGCGAGCATAGTGTAGGCGTAGTCCCTGAGTTTTCCTCAGGGATTCGAATATTCGATAGCCTACGACCGGTTTCGCCCTTCGTGTCGAGCATAGTGTAGGCGGAGTCCCTGAGTTTTCCTCAGGGACTCGAATGCCACCAACAGCAAATACTCTCATTTGCATACAACTTCTGTTTTGTCTAGAAACACAAATGAATGCAGCTGAATCTCTCGTTTACGCTGATCCGCTTCATCCTAAACGAAAGATTCAGCTGGATTCGGCAGAGTCAATTATCAAAAGCAAGCTGATATGCACACAAGGTATTTTTCGAAATAAGAAGACTGCTTTTTCCGGCCTACTGGCTCTAAGCCTTTGATTCGTGATTTTCTACTTTGCTTACCGTAGCATATTACGTACCGTACAATCGACCTAATGCCATCATAAACTTGAGAATGGTATTCCGTTATTACGTACCGTACAATCGACCTAATGCCGTCATATACTTGAGAATGGTAGCAGTAGTATTCCGTTATGAAAACGTCCGCGGAGTGAGCACTATTATTCAAACGCTTTCGTGAACCGGACACTCGCTGATTTTGGTAGCAGCAAGCTTTGCAAAATTTTCTCTTCTAGGGTGGCCACTTCAGTTTTTGTAGCGAGAAGTTCCTAGAGAAACCCTAGTTCTCATCGGTTTATTAATTGGTAGGTCCCTTGGTACTGCCATATGACTGCATTCTGGTAAATTTCAGGATACGGGGCAGACTAAGAATTCAACCGTACCATTTAGGTAAGAATCCTCTCTCTTTCGGACAAAGAACTCTAATCTCATCTAGAAAGCCAGAGTGTGTTGGCTATCACTCAGTCATTTCGGTAACCGTTATCCTCTCAGGTTGGAACTGTTGATTCTAATTACATGAAAGTTCACTCCATAGTAGCACCAGAGCATCCGTTACACGCTTGTTGTATTGAATTCATTTTTCAGAGTGTTCACTTCATCTTGATGTTTGTACCTAGTATTCACCGAATGTATGTGCTGAGTCATAGTTCAGTTCTTTGCCGTACTGTTATCCGCTACATTTGCGCACTGTTGCCCGCCTCTATGTCTTGAAACCGGTTTTGACAGATACATCTATGTACGGCATGTTTATCGTACGTTTGGTTGCTACAATATTACAAACCAGTCCGCGATACATCTGACTTGGTTGAATGAGAGCGCTTTTGTAGTTTGTTGTACGGAGGCAAGGCTAAGGCACATAACGATGTCGTCAAGTTGTCAGGTAGTAAGTGTTTCAATCGTACATCAGAGTGGTGCATCCACAAACCGCAACCTGATGTGCGGAACTGGCCCCGTTAAAACAACTATGAACAGCTGATGTACATGTGAGCAACAACTTCAGATAGCTCCGTTGAACTTTTAATTTGTTAACCGAGCTTAGCAACTAGCACACAAACGTCTCGTTTCTAGTCGAAAAGGCATAGTCGATGCACTCAAATGTGCAGTTTATGGACCGCACCACTCATATATTTGCTTGAAAACTTTCGGCAACCCGGCACCGGTTTCACCACCTTCATCAGATAGACACAGTCCCTGAGTTCCCATAAACTGCGAGACAATCCATTTGCATCACATTAAGCTGAAGAGATCTGGTCAGGATTCATCTGAATTTTCCATGAAATTAATTTAATTCGAATTGTTTTTCAATCGTATTCCTCTGTCGTAGCTGTGTTTTCCAGAAAAACCCGGAGGAATTAAGCAAATACCTTAGGAGCGGTGCAGTCCACACGATCTCGACCCTATTCCACTCGGTGTATGGAGAGTAATATGCTTTTTCTTGCTTTTCAATGTCATATGGCTGACCTTTATTGGTCCCAAGGCTGCGAGTGTGCGGGGCCAACATCATTCTCTCAACTTGTGTACTGATGACCTAACCGATGACAGTAATCTCATGTAAGCAAAATAGCAATAAACTCGGAAGAATCTTAGCAGAAACTCCCGCTTGTAACATTCTCCACATGAGTGTGCTGCGCTGAGGCCACCTTAGTTTTCATCTGGAATGACAGTCATGATAGCGAATTAGAATTATTGTCCCTGACAAAGTACTATTTACAAGGCTACGATGAACATAGTCCGGGGACGGGATGAATGACTAACGAGGACGCTGTGATGCGCGCAGTTTATGGGCAGGCACAGACATACCTACAGAGACTAAATGGTTTTATGAGATCAAATTCGACAGCATGGCTGAGTGACATGTGTAGTTGCTAGTATTTCAATGAACGGTAGAGTTTCTCTCACTTTGAACCAAGCCAACATGATATTCTGTTTGTTTATCGAACGTTGAGCTTTATATCAGAAAATGAGCACTCGAAATCAAGGAAAGTCTGTGCTGGTTCAGCACAATTAGTCTGTAGAATACTGTCACCATTTGTCATTGAAAGAATGTTAGATACCACTCGACAGGAAAATTGACAATACCCTTTTACCAGAAGAAGTTAGTTTACTTATCTTGGTCTGATTTTGGACCCAGTGAAGCGATAGATCACAGTGAGAAACAGTTTGACTGCTGAGGAGTAGCTTTCTTAATGAAGAAGAGCAAGCTACTAAGAAGTGCGTTTTACTGTACTATACTGTCTTGCACTGCACTGTGAACATAAAGTGAGAGCAAGGGTTGGTATTTAGACGCGGATAACGGAGTGATACATCGAGATTCATGTCTTTTGGTGAGAAGGGATAACCATATTTGATAAGGAAAATGAAATAGCTTGCCAAATCTTTTAGAATGGATAGGCCATTTAGATTTGATTCTGTAGATTTTTTAAAATTTACTTGCGAGCGCAGGAATGGGCTAAAATAAATGCACCATCAGTGTGTGGATATGAGATCTAGCAGATGAATTGGATTGACTGTTGGAAAATCAAGCTCACGTCATAGCATTTTCGACGCCTGAATCGTCGTCAGCGAAGTTGGATACTGGCTTCACCTTTCGATTCGAAAATTATGGATAACTCCAGGAATTTTGAGCATACTACGCCGCAGAACTGCTGCACTGCTAAGGTATCTTAAATCCGGTACACGAACCTGACAGGCTAAATTTTTGACTCTTGGTTAGAACCATGCACCAGAAAGCTCAAATCATAAATAATTTTCCCAGTAGATTTGCCGAATAGTAGGCCGACTAAGAAAGGTTAAGCAACGCTTATAACGAACATGCTCTAGTATGTCGCTTTACTCAGTTTTACATTCTATGTAACCTTTAATGAGGGCTTTTCTGAGACCCGCCTTTTATCCGTATTAAGCAAGGTCGAGCCTATTTGGTGAAGTTGGGAGAATCGAAGAATAAAATTTACGCCACCAAATAAATGTTTCCGGTTCACGAAAAATTGCACTCTGGTGCAAATATAGCGAGTAGTATTCCGGCACTCGGTTTCTAGAGTGCATAACACTGTCGAAATAGGTCTCAAGTTTAGGATCGAGGAAGATGAGCGGCCTGAAATTCTTCCAACTATGATTCAAGCATGCAGCACTGTTGTAGCTGCTGGTGTCCATCACATGGTGATGAGACGGATGCAGTGAAAATTGCCAAGCGGCTTTTCACTATGGAATCTGAAAAGCGAGCAGAAGAATGGATGTGAAACAGGATGACCAATCACAGATCAATGGTGTGTGGAGGTTGCCAGTCCATTAGTCATAGGGCACGAGAAGTGAAGCCAATCAGATTAGCGGCCTCAACATGTGTCTTACATGAAACCAATGCAACAACCGCATCTCTATTTACGAAGGAACCATCCGTTTGGTCAGTTGGTCTTGCTGTTCCATTTGCTGTTGAAGAGTTTTTTCTCCAAAATTTTTCTGATATAAATATCTAGCATATCAATTTTTTCAAAGTACGTGATAGAGGTAGTTTTCACCTTTCCCCCAAAAATACCTGAAACTAAAGCAGTATCGCTGCAATCGAAAGGAATTTTATAGGCCCCAAAACTAGCCCTTGTACTGGGTAAACTGTTTGCAAACAAGGCCAAGACAGACAAACGCGAAACTGACAACACCGTGTACCAAACCAGTGACAGTGATGGTAGCAAATATTAGTTTAGAAAAACTGGAGGAAACTTTCCTACGTACGTAAAGGAAGACAAGGCAGCTTTTAAGAGATATGAACCGCTACTTTTGTTTTTATTCGTGAAGATCAAGAAGGATAAAAACCCCAACCTAGGAAACGTAAAGGTCGTGAAACTGGAAAAAGAGGGCGCGAGAGGGGGTACTTCCCATGAGATTTAATTAATCGCTTTATTGAAGTGGAGACTGTATACACACCGGGGGCGAGATGTCTCAAATTATTAGAGCGCCAATTTACTAACCGAAAGGTCGATGCTTCAAACCCGACCTCTACCTCTCGGATTCCTCTGTCTAGGCTTGGACGATATGGCAGTATCCCAGCCCTCGTGCTTCTTTCTGGTGGCATGGCAGCTAGGCACCGAAAGTGTGTTACAGATGAAGGATTTGAATACATGCCACCAACTAAAAGGTAAGAGTGAGTCAAACCCGGCCATCAGACCAACTCGTCAACAAGCATGACGCATTATGAAAACAGCTCCAAAAATAATCATTTCGGTTTTATTCAAAAAGGCCCCTTTCCTCAGTAGTGACAATGAAAGCTTCAACGTGAAATTTCTACACAATTCTACACGTCGTTGTTTCTAAGTCCGCTTATGTTGAAATTTACGAGTGAAATGCACAGAGTATAGCCCATCTTCAGCGCGAGGCGTCCAGATTTCAAGATGGTCCTTGCTGAGTTTTAGGATTGGTATTGAACATAAAACCAATAAGACCCAGTTGCATTTTGATAAAATGAGAAAATCTGTTAAAGTGACTTCACTGATCAAATGGAGAACCTTTTCCCGACATGTGAGATCCAGATCAATTAAATCACGAGCATCTCAAGGTCACAACTCCGCTGTTCTCAATTGTAAGTAGCACTCGTTGACAAGGTGTGCTTTAAATATGGAAAACAAAATGGTGTGCTCGAGCAAACTAGAGGACAGCTTTCTAATATGTCATTGTAATAGGAATTCCCTGTCCCTACATTGATTCCAGAACAAATAAGTGGTATGGTTAAAGGATTCTGAGTAAATGACAACTGTAGGGAAAATATTCTGATCAACCTTCCTGGGATAGGTGACCTGAAAGCCAGGTGGTCTATACAAAATCTGTATAATCCTGCAAATAGGCTGGTGAAGTTCTTGAAAAACAAACAGGTGACAAATATCACGAGTATGCATCATAAGAAGCGGGTTGTATTTAGGGGTTGGGTATGTTTGAGCAAGTGCTCCCAGCTTATTAGTCGTCTGAGGCCCATTGACAGTGCTGTGGGCTTACACACGGAGCACAAAGATA